TTTTATACGCTGTATTAGGCTAGCGGATAGCAAACATTTGACCTAAGAACTGGAACAGCTAACAAATTTATTCCTGGAAAATAATTATGGTTTGAGCCTTATTGAGATTAATATCTCTCTACTGAAGAATAACTTTTCCGACGGAGACCATTTAATAAAAGATAGACAGCCTGAGACCTTTTCCTAATTTTGCCGTCATGCTTTTTCTCCAAAAAGATGGGAGAATTAGTAAAGAATTGGGACATAAAAATAGTGTTCAGAGAAACTTTCACAGTTTCCTCTGTTATGCCATCTTTTAGAGAAAAATATGACCCATTATCAAGATCCGGCTGCTAAAAGATTGTTTGCCTATGTGGTTGATGTTATGCTGAGGATAAATGCCGACCTATTCGACAAAGATTGAGAGAACACAAAAATGCTTGCAAAGGAAGCTGGATCCAGCGGTCTGAAGTGGCCGAACACATGACAGAAACAGGACATGAAATAGAATTGTTTCAAACTAGTATGTTTGCTAATTATGGTACGTCTGTGGTTAAAAGAAAGATAAGAGAGGCTATCGAAAGTTATAGCTTAGGAAATACGTTGAATTTGAGGAACAGTGGTAGAAGTTTTAGTAGGAACTACTTAGACTTGATTGATAGATTGAACGAGAAAGAGGGTGTTGAGTTGCTGTCAAGAAGTAGACGACTTAATTTGTCTGCTCGGTGCTGGTTCTAACTTCACTTACATTTGTCTAATATGTTAGAGTAAGCTCGTCAACCAAACGGGACATGTTAGATTACGCAAAATTTTCACTCGAAATGGAATAAGCTCAACAATTATGAAACAAGAGATTCTTTGAAACCCAAATTTTCTTCGCATACTTTTTCTAGCTTCACAATTTTGCCGTCATGCATTCTTTCAAAAAAAAACAAAGGTGAATTATTAAGAAAGTGGGGCATAAAAACAGTGTTCAAAGAAACTCTCACAGTTTTCTCTGTTATGCTATTTTTTAGAGAGAAATATGACCCATTATCGAGATCCGGCTGTTACAAGATTGTTTGCTCATGTAGTCGATGTTATGTTGGTGAGACATGCCGACTCATTCGACTAAGATTGAGAGAACACAAAAATGCTTGTAAAAGAAGCTGGGTCCAATGGTGAGAAGCAGCGGAACGCATGGTAGAAATTTGACATGAGTTATGATGGTATCAAGCTAGTAGTTCTGCTGATTATGGTACGTCTGCTGTTAAATAAAGATAAGAGAGGCTATTGAAATTAATATATTAGGAAATACGTTAAATGTGAAGAACGGTGGTAAAAAGTTATGTAGGAACTACTTATGCTTGATTGATAAATTGTGAGAGAGAAGGTGTTGAACCGTCATTCAAGAGAATGTGACCAGAATAAAGATAATTAACAAAACTATTATATATCAATCTATGTTTTTAAATTCTCTTCTGCTTAAATGAGACTATATAAGAGGTAAGATAAAACCGGATAATATTCTTGTCTTAGTGTTAACTTAAAAATTTTACAAAAAAGTTCGCGCTAACTTTGCCTTCCTCTAATAACCGGTGCAATAGATATTTTCCCCAAGGATGTCAATGGTCTCCTTAATCTTCCTTTTTACGTTTTAATCGCATGAGGCCATTCTTTTAATTGTCTTCTTTTTAGTATGTGCGATGTGCTCCGCTAATTCTAATCTTTTGAGAAAATTCATATGAATGTTTTACCATGTTTGATAACCTGTCATTTAATTTCTTGTTTTTCAAACATTTGAACTTTGCCAATTTGTGTGTTGCTTCATACTTGTTTTCAGGTATAAGACTTAGTGGTTAACCTTCTTTGTGCATCTTCAGTAATCCGTAGGCCGTTGGTGCTTGCGCATGTTTCCTATGATTGATTTATTTGTCCATGCATCAATTTACCCGTTCCTATACATATCTTTCAGCATGAAATTTAAAATTTCATTGATGTTAACATATGG